GTGAGAAACGAGCCTGTAAATCCTCCCAAAATAAAGTGATGAAATAACAGATAAATACTAAATGAAAAAAAAATTAAGGGTAACGTTGTCTCAAATGTTTGATTCTATATGAATATATATTTTGGTTTCTAGACTGACACTAGATTTATTTTGGTATTTAAATTTTATTTAGGATTCAATTTGATATTTGATTTTTGTTGGTTCAATTAAGTATTTGAACTTTATTTTTTTTAAATTAATACATAAATTTAGCCTTTTGATTTAAATATTTACTTAAAATTTTAATTAGTTCGAACTAAGAAGCCAGGTTTATGTAACCAATTCCAACAAAAAAAAATCCAAATTCAAGTACATAATTACACCCAAAAAAAAGTTTAAGAATACATAATTGAATAATAAAAATAGATATCAAGTAAACCAAATTTGAACAAAAACAGAACTTATGTATCAAATTATAGAAGAAGAAGCAATTCAATCAAATTGGGAAAAGAATCTCTCAAGAAGTTCCTATTCGACTTCAAATATAATTAGGACTTTCCCCAACACCTAGAGTTAAGGGTGTTCTTTAGCGGATACTCGATTTTCATAGTAAAAGTTATAGTTCTGAACCGACTATACATTATTTGAGTACCCTCAAAAATCGAGTATTAACGCTTTCAAATAATGGATACTCGATTCATATTTTCCATTCAAATTATATATATATATATATATATATATATATAAAAAATCAAATAAAAATATAAAACTTAAAAATCTATCATATATAATCCAAACAAAAAAAAATTAAAAATGAAATTGTATAATTCGAAGATAAATTTTAAATTTTTAAGATAAAAGAAATAATTTGAAAGAATAATTTAGAATGTTAGAGTAAAATAATCTGAGAAATTTAGGATTTAGAATGTTAGGACGAAATAATTTGACAAATCATGAATTTAGAATGTTAGATATAAATTGAGAAATGAGAATAAAAAATTATTCTAAAATAAAAATAAAAAGAAATAGAGAACTGAGTCGTCAGATATTACGACCCGTGGCTTGACTCATGAACCCGTGGAAACTAGCGAGTCAGTTACCCAACCTAGAAAAAAATAGAGTACAAACATTTGGTTATTTTTGTCTGGATTGACGAGCAAATGAATCAAATATATTAGATCAAGTAATTTTAAACATACCTATCTAGGGTTATATGATTTTTTACAAAACATGACAACTATTCTTAGCTAAATTCTTTAGGCACCTAAAGTTAACTTATGATATAGTTCAAACATTTATTTTTATATTAAGTCAAAATATAAACATGACATGCGCCACTTAACGGATTTATTTTTATATTAAACATCTATATTTTTAATGAAATTTTTTTAGGTACCTAAAGTTAACATAGAGTATAATTTTTACATTATTTTCTTAACCTACTCACGTTGACCCTTTTTCCATTGCGTACGCCGTCGTTCTGCAACAAGAAAAACAACAACAAAACCCTATTCCCATATACAATGGGATAAGGGGGAGGTAGGGTAGTAGGCTGCCCCTAACGCCAGGTAGAGAGCAGCTTCCGTGGAAGACCTCCGGCAGTCAAAAAAATAAAAATAAAGATGAAATACATGCATGTATAAATAAATAAATAAATACATAGTTGAACAAACTTCATATGCAATCTTCATATGCTCATCTCTAATGGGAAGTAATCATTGCAAATAAATCCCTGCTTAAAAATCTCTGAATATAGACAGAAACGTAAGTCCCAGCTAAATTTAAAAAGAGGAAACATAAAGAGAATGATACACAGTAGTCAGCGATAGCAAGCTACGAGAAGGTATAAAGTCAAATAGGTTAAAACCTAAACTAAGGCAACTTTACTCCGCTACCCTAGTTCTAAGCCTTCATAAATTCCAATGACAGAACCGTATAAAAAGTAGAAATCACGAAAATTAATACAAATGCATTAAAAAGAAGACAGATATGTTACACCCTATGGATGTGACCCACACTACTCGGCTACCCTGGTCTTAAGTCTCCATAATTTCCTGTCAGAGGTCATGTCCTTGGTAAGGGCTAAATCCTTCAAATCAGATCTCAAGCATTCTACCCACTTTCTCCTTGGTCGTCATCTCCTTCTTGCACCGTCGGCTATAATCGACTCTACCCTCCTGACCGCATCTGACGGTTGTCTCCTAAGGACATGCCCAAACCATCGTAGTCTTCCCTCCCTCAATTTTTCGGATACAAGCACCACCCCCAAGGACATCCTAATTGCAAAGTTTGGTGTCATGTCCCACAGAGTCCTACCACAAGCCCATCGAAGCATTATCATTTCTACGGCCTCCATCCTCCTTACGTGATCCTTCTTGATTGCCCAACATTCTGATCCATACAGCAGCGCTGGTCTTATTGCCATTATATAAAATTTTCCCTTAAGTTTTAGAGGCACCTTCTTGTCACATAAAACTCCAGTAGCAGCCCTCCACTTTAGCCATCTTGCCTTTATACAGTGTGTGTAACGTCATCATCTACACCCCCATATTTATGTATCATAGACCCTAGGTACTTGAAACAATCATTTGAGGGGAGAACGTGTCCTTCGATGCGAACTTCTACATCTTCATCGTTTTGGTTCCCACTGAAGTTTGAACATAAATACTTTGTCTTTTCAATATTGATCCTTGACCTTTTTCTTCCAAAGCAGTCTTCCAGGTAGCCAGACTACTATTCAACTCATTTTTTGTTTCAGAAACTAGGACAATGTCGTCAGCGAAAAACATATACCATGGAACACCGTATGGTGTCGCACAATAGATGTCGTCCATAATCAAGAAGAAGATGTAAGGGCTAAGAGTCGACCCCTGGTGGAGTCTATTTCCACCGGGAATGCCTCGGTGTCGCCAACTCTAGTCTGACGTATGTAGTAGATCTACAATACATATCACGAATCGCCCGGATATAAGTAGTATGGATTCGTCTCGTTTCAAGGTCTTCCAGATCGTATCGCGGGTACGCTATCATACGCCTTCTCAAGGTCAATGAACGCCATGTGAAGATCTCTATTTTTTCCCTATATTTCTCGATAAGCCATCGAAGTGGATGAATCGCCTCCTGGTAAAGCCAAACTTGTCTGGTTTTCCGAAACCCTAGTAACATGTCTCAACCTAGCCTCTATCACCCTTTCCCATAGCTTCATGGTATGACTAAGTAGTTTAATACCTCTGTAGTTACCACAACGTTGGGGATCTCCTTTATTCTTATAGATTGTTATCACCGTCGACTCTCTTCACTCCTCTGGCATCTTGACGGTCTCTAAAATAATATTAAAGATGTTGGTTAACCACTTAACTCCCTCTTCTCCTAGGGTCAACCACACAGTAATAGGAATTTGATCTGGACCGACAACTTTGTCCCTCCCCATATTTCTAAGGGTCATTTTGACTTCCTCAATCTCAATCCTACTTGTAGGTCAGTCATTGGCCGTAGTATGATGGTCGACTGACCCATCAACGTTACTATCTCTACAGGGAGAGGCACTGTTATTAAATAAGCCAAAAAAGTAACTACCCCAAGCCCTCTTAATATCATGATCTTTCACTAAAAGAACACCATTGTTGTCATTAATAAATCTAATGCTACTTAGATCATTTTTCCTATTCTCCCTGGATTTTTCCAGCCTGAAGATGTCGTTGTGTTCTTCCTTAGTGTCTAATCTCTTGTACATTTTCTCGTATGCCTTATCTTTTGCTTTAGCCACTGCTTTCTTGGCTTCCCACTTTGCCTCCTTGTATCTTTGTTTAGCACTCGATCTTTCTTCGTTATCATTGCATTATAGCAACTCCTTGAAGCAAGTTTTCTTTGTCTTCACCTTAGTTTGGACTTCGTCATTCCACCACCACGATTCTTTATGTTCCTTGACCTTCCCTATCGACAACCCAAGGATGTTTTTGCCCACCTCTCTGATGGAATTTGCCATATTCTTCCATAACATATCTGCATTATTTGAGTTTGTAGTTCCAAAACCTGTATGAGACAAAACCTTACTCCTAAAGTCATCAGTTGTCGCTCCATGTAAGTTCTTCCAAAGGATCCTAGATTTACCTAGTTTAGCCCTCTTATGAGTGCTCCCCTCGTTGTACGCCGTCGTTATGGATTTGCTTAATCTCTCCCTTTATATATATGGGTAAACTACAAATTTATTCATCCAATTTTAATCATATTTTTATTTTGGTTATTAAATTTTAAAATAATAATTTGATCATTGAACTTTTAAATTATTTTATTTATTAAATAATTAAAAATATTATGACTATAAATCTATTTTTTTGAAAATTATGAAAAAATCCTAAAACATTTTTTATTTTTGTTAAAAAATCTTAACTTTTGATTCTATTTGATTTTTCAATGTTATACCTTCTTCTAAATCCTAATGATAGAGGCAGAGAAGGAAAATACGAGCTATAAATTGACTTCATATTGGTCAAATAAAGGAGATCTAGATTAGAGTCGTATTCCTTTTAATGTTGAATTTAGTTTCACTAGTTTTAAAGAGATTTTGAAAGAAAATAATTAAGTTAATTCAGTGAAAGGGAATGCTGATTTGAGTTTATTGACATCTTATGTGATCAAATAAAATTTTCAAAATTATCAATTTCAACGTTAGTATGACACAAAATAAGACTTTTAAGAATTTTATCAGCACGAGGAAGAAATAAAAGAAAAAATGATGTGTACAACATGTAGTCTTTATGCCAGTAAAATTCCGTCTATGTCGGCGTAAAATTGGTCAAATCATCATCTTGTTTATTTTTTTAATTAACGTCCGAGTGATAAAAATAAAGTTTTAAAATTTAGTGATAAAAACAGAAATATAGTCAAAGTTGAGTGAAGCAATTTGTAGTTTACCATGTTTTAATTTTCCTTTCTCTCTTTTTTTAAGAAGTTTTGTTTCTCTCTCCTTTTCGTTGTAGTAATAAAAGGCCAACAAAGGGCAGCAAGTAAACCAACATAAGCTAAAGCAGATAAGAAGCAAAAACAAAAGAGGCTGCTCCACACTAAGGAGGAAAACTGTGCGAAAAAAGAGAAGCCAAAGCTATTTGTCTTTCTTTCCTTTTCTTCTTCTTCTTTGTTTTAGTTCCCCGTTGAAGAAAAATGGAGGGTGTTTTGCAGTGGTTGAAGCTTGTAGCCATATCTTTCATGGTGTTAGTTTTGGTGTTAAAAGTGTTGGTGTTGCTTTGGTGGAGACCGAAGAGGATCGAAGATCATTTCTCAAGGCAGGGGATAAGAGGACCTCCTTACCATTTCTTCATTGGAAATGTTAAGGAGCTTGTGGGCATGATGTTAAAGGCTTCTTCTCAACCCATGCCTCTCTCCCATAACATTCTCCCCAGAGTTCTCTCTTTCTACCATCATTGGAGGAAAATCTATGGTATTTTCGTCTTCCATCTTCTAAACATTAAAACCATGTGTTTCGATTTAAGATCCTTTTCTCTTTTGAATGTGTTAATGTGGGTTCTTTTCGACTCCATTTTAAAGCAAAACAAGAGGGTTGGTCTTTGTTTTTCCGATCATCATTACTAAAGTGGTTTATGTCTATGATCGATCCTTGAAAATTTTGTGACTTCCGAAAGCCTTTTGCTTTGGTTTGAGTTCGGGTACTTGTCCTTTTAAACTTTACAGCCTTTTTCAGAGTCTTGGTGCTTGATGTTGAAGTTCAGGAATTTTTGGACGGTTCCACTTCCGTTTGTTTTTTCCTTATTTTCTTGCACTCTCTCTCCTTAACCTCATCTCTCCTCTCCCCCCCCTCTCTCTCTCCCTCTCTTTATATCTCTATCCTTATCAAAAATACTTTTACTATCTTTACCATCTTTCTCTGTTTCTTGTATGTCATCTTACTTTTGGCTTTTGTTTCGATAGGAGGTTGAGTTTCTGATAATGAAGTTGTATTATGTTTGCTAGTAGCCTTGTAAGTACTACTGTTTTTTACTTGTCTTCTTCTATACCCCCTCCCTCATTTTCTATTATTATATGCACACATATATGTGTGTTGCTACAGTACTAAATATATCCATCATTTCCTTTTGAATTCATTAATGGCTTGTCATTTCTTTCATGCTCATTTTCCTCTTTTGCAAACTCGATACTTACTACTTGTGGTTCGCTGCCACTCCCTCCTTGGTGTAAAATCCTCCTCCTTTTGTTTTTGGTTTATTACAATCTGTTGTTTGTTTAATATGATGATGTAAATGTGTCTAACGTTTTTCGCTATTGATTCCCAGGTGCAGCGTTTCTGGTCTGGTTTGGTCCTACAGTTCGCCTCACAGTGGCTGACCCGGATCTCATAAGGGAAATCTTCACTTCCAAGTCTGATTTCTATGAAAAGAATGAAGCCCACCCTCTTATAAAACAGGTCGAAGGTGAAGGCCTACTTAGTCTCAAAGGCGAAAAATGGGCTCATCATCGAAAAATCATCACCCCCACATTCCATATGGAGAATCTCAGAGTAATTAATAAATTACTTCATTAGTTTCTCACGTCAACTTTTGATTAAAACAAAACTCTTTTTCCCACCTTTTTATTTATTTATTATAATTGTAGTTGCTAGTTCCATTGGTGGCACAAAGAGTAACCGATATGCTCGACAAATGGTTGGCAATGTCGACCAGCTCCGGTGAGATTGAAATCGAAGTTTGCGAATGGTTTCAAACACTCACCGAAGATGTCCTTACACGTACAGCGTTCGGGACCAGTTATGAAGATGGAAAGGCCATTTTTCGACTACAAGCCCAACAAATGGTGCTGGCAGCCGAGGCATTTCAAAAAGTTTTCATCCCCGGTTATAGGTAATGTTAAAATTTCTATATCATTGTCCTAGTTTTCACGTATCAAAACGACGGAACATAAGTTTGGGGTGTTGTAATTTCAGATTTTTACCGACCAAAAGGAACATAAGCTTTTGGAAATTGGATAGGGAGATTAAAAAGTCATTGATGAAGCTAATCGAACGACGGAAAGAGAAGTTGGGGAACGTGGTGCAAGAAAAGGGACCAAAGGATTTGCTGGGATTAATGATGCAGGCCTCAAATTCGAGTCCAAATATTACAGTCCATGACATAATCGAAGAATGCAAGAGCTTTTTCTTTGCCGGAAAACAGACCACATCCAATTTGTTGACGTGGACCACTGTTCTTCTAGCAATGCATCCCCAGTGGCAGGTGCAAGCACGTGACGAGGTGTTAAGGGTGTGTGGATCACGTGACATACCTTCCAAAGATGATGTTGTAAAGCTTAAGAAGGTATACTTTCCCTTTGCATTAAAGACAATTCTCTCTCTGCCATGTTTAAGCTATAGTTTTAGCTCAGAAAAAAAGGGTCTAAATCAGTAAAACATTCTGATTTTGGGTTCACATGTTGTGGTGTGCAGCTGACCATGATCTTAAATGAATCCGAAACATCCTGTTGGATTCATCCCGTTTGGACTCGGGGTCCGCACTTGCATCGGGCAAAACCTAGCCATTTTACAAGCCAAGTTGTCTCTTTCTATTATACTTCAACGCTTCTCCTTCAGGTTGGCCCCGACTTATCAACATGCACCAACGGTTCTGATGCTGCTTTACCCACAATATGGAGCACCCATCATCTTTGAACCTCTGCCGGAATCCACTACACCTCAAAATGAAGGGTCCTGATTTGATCCCATCTCCTATGTGTAGCTATCTCGTGTGCTAGTAACTTGAATAATCACCCCCCCCCCAAAAAAAAAACAAATTCCCAGTCTCCATTGTGGCCTTTAGAGTATAGAAAAATCAGAGATAATTTAGCAACGAAAACAAAAAGGTATCACTAAAAATCTTTCCAATTCCGATGAATTGACCCTCTGCATGTAATATATATTTGCAACACAGTTTTGTAATATCATGCAATTCATGAAATTGGTTTCTATACTTAAAATTCAATGATTGCACATGGAATTAGCTGCTGCCCTGCAGCATGACAGCCAAATTGTCACGTTTAATTCAAGACTCAAACTTGCTAAATTTCCATTTACTATATTGTTATCAACTGTAAATACAGATGTTTTATGGTTTTCTTTTCCAGAATACCTTTCTTGCTGAAAACAAATCATTTACTTGGAATGGATTTCTTTAAAATAGTAATTAGTTAATTTGAACAATGATAATTAATATATTGTAATCCAGACATTCTTTTAAGAGAGAGATTTCATGGAAAATAATAAGATTTGTGTTCCCATAACTATGATGCATAGATCAACTACAAAGTTTTCTTGTCATATTATAAGGTTTGTTTGGAAGAAAAAAGACAAAAAGAGAGGAGGAAAGGGGCACCCAAATCGATGAATATTTTTTTGTTACTACAAATATTATAAAATGAAACGGTATCCCAAAACATCAGGTGCTCCATTAACTGCTTTCATCCAGAAGGCCAATGCACTTTTTTAAAACAATAAACTGGATATACATTATTGATTTCCTCTATAGTGTTTTATGAGCTTTGAGTTGTAATGTAGTGAGAAATATTATTTAAATTTTCTTTGCTTTTCGGGATCTTCTCATGCTCTAACCTCTAAAATCAATTAAGAACATTTATCATTTATTTATAAAAGCTTTTGTTGAAAAAAGGAATCAAAGCATGCTATCCATCTATGATTACATCCCAACCCTAAATTTCATTTCTTTTTCTCTTAAGTTTTGTTTGATAGAATAAAAAAAACCCATGCATGCTTACTTATCACGGTGCTAATGACTTGATTATTGGGATTATCGTTGTTATTAGTATTATATAAGAGTACTAATGGAATTGAGTGATTTGGACGTACCTTAATTTCTGACGAAGTGTGTTTCAAACTTAGTTGATGATTAAACACAAAAAACAAAAATATAATATGTTTTACGATTTCATTTCCCTATGATTTTATTGGTAAATTATAATACTTGTACTGATTAGAAGCTAACCTAGGGTTACTAGTAAATGTTTAAAATGGAAGGGTTCTTTGTTCTTTTGTGCTTTGTCTTAAGCATGCCTCTTAACATTGACATCTAGGCAAATGTCTCCCCCTATCTTTACCATATACCACGAAATCAACATTGTAGTGGACCCGATATATTTACATCGCATTTATATATATTATATTTTCACTTGTCTCCAAATATACAAATTTTGCATGCATGTTTCCAAATTCCAATATTCTTGATTAATTTATATGTAAGCTGGGTTACCTACAATCCTACTACTTAACAAATAGTTAGATGGGAATATACATATGGATAGGTACCTAGGCAGCGGACTAATACTAAATCATTAGATTAAATTAATTTGTAATGAGAAAAGAAATATATCCATGACGAAAACATGCCTTATTTTAGTCCCAAATGTCTCCCATTAATTTGTGACTCTTGTACCGATGCTATCTTCTTGAGCTGGCTTCGGTCTGCCATGGATTGATGCAAAATTTATCTCGGCATCCCCTTTCTCCAATCACCATGCCATGAATGCTTCCATGGCATGGAATTTTGAAGAATAAGAACAAAAAGAGAAGTGGGGGGCCAACGGCAAAGATAGAGAAAAAGGTGTCTCCCCTATGAGAAGACATTATCACATGGGGGGTCAGAGTTGCAAATGAGTTAATTTGTTTCTTGGGTAGGGCTTAAGGGCGGGCTGAATGATATAAGCCCACGTTGTCCACCTTCAAATTAACTGATCGGCCCCTTCATTATATTGACTCAAAAAATATGCACTATAACATCAACATCGATGTTCGGGTAACTGGTTCTGCTATGGCGCTGCCTTTGTGGGGGCATCCTTGAAAAGGACAAACAAACAGATGGTCTTAATATTTACCTACCACCAACTATTATCCTCAAAAGTCAATTGGTAGTCCAATTCTAATCCAACTGTGTATGTTCATTAATATTAAAACATAAATGATTCGCTGAACCAAAGTTACCTTCACTTCTACCTGTTAAAAAGATAAACTCACAGGATAGGGTAGAAAGATAAACTCACAAGATAGGGTAGAAAGATGAACTCACAAGATAAGGTAGAAAGATGAACTCACAAGATAGTGTAGAAACAAGGATATCCAATCTCACATTAATTAGTAACATGATTGACGGCTGAACTAACTTGTATAATGTTTTGGAAGTATTACAAAGAAGCTGTTTCGGGACCCCACGGTTGTTCTTAAAAGAACAGGATCAAGCACATAACTCAAGTAGGACTGGGATAGGACAAGTATCTCTTGTTCGTTACCCTAAGATAAAAGGTTCTGACAAAATGATGAAATTGGCTGGGGACAAAACTTAACCACGGTTTTTCTGGAGGATTTTGGCGTCGCCTGCACTGCACTGCACCATGCAGGCCACCACACCAGATATGTTTACCACAAAAAATAACACACCGCGTAAATAGGGAGATGCATTTGTTATCTCCTACTACTATATTAATATGATTAAAGTTTTTAAGTCCAAGCATGGGATCGTCCTCCGTCTACTTCCATTTCCCAATACCAGTAATAGTTTTTAGAGCGTTGGATAAAAATCCATACAATATAAAGGGCTTCGTTCAAACAGAAATCACGTTTCTAAAGCCGAAACATCGTGTAGAAAGGATTGCAAGAAATTAAGATTCATACAGAATAAGAACATAACAATAAATGTTTCATAAACAAGAATATATTAGTTTTCCATACCCTGTATGAAAATTCTATTTTAAAAAAAGGAATTTCAGCCGTTATTCCAGCAGATATCTGCTGCATACCGACATTGCAGGCATGCATCCCCAGAATCGGAGTTTTAAGATGCAACTGCGGAAAGAAAGCTGACCTACTACACTCTCTAAAACTAGATATGTGGCTTTAAATTGCAACGGGACTACTCAAAATATTCAAGCAGCAAAATGATAAATCAAAGTTCCCCTGATATTCAATAGATGGGAATTTGTAGAACCATATAGTCAGAACTCTGCATTACAAAACATACCAAAGTCGTGGCCACGCATGCAGACACTGGAAAAAATCAGGCAAACGAAAACATGATTAGAGAGGTGTCACTGCTTCATTCTCTCGTACTAAAAAGAAAAAGTTGTAAATCAGGGGAAATCGACAAAATTGTACACATGTTCATATATAAAAAAAGAAATAACACATATTTGAGCACCAAAAAAGTTTATCTCAATAACTTTACAAGTTTCAGTACATTTAGTAGCTTTCTAGTTTCTAACAACATGTGCATCTAGAATGAATAAAACAGAAATATATTCACTAGAAAAGCTCTTCCATGCAAGTGCAAAGCACAGCAACTCATGTTTTATCATAATAAAAAGGTAAAAGGATTGTGATCTTAGCCCCAATTAGGGTAAGATCCATCAAGTAGCGAGACATACCTTACATAGTGTTGAAATCAGCAATTCAGTGCTGTTCTCACTCTATGTAGAACTTCTTATTAATTGGAGGAAGTACTTTGTCAGAAGCTTTGCTGATCTTAACATCAAACTCAACCTCCATTAATCTATGGTTTACCTTGGAACGGTTCATTGAGAAAGAAACATTGAGGTTGGTCTCTTCATCAACATGAAGAGGAGGATGAAAGAGAAAAACATGTCCAACAATAAAAAGCAATAAAAAATATTAGGAAAATGAAGAAGAAAATACACATGAACATGCTTTATGCTACGAACACTGACAAACCAAAGCCTTGTATAAAAAAAAAAGCACCAACTATTAATGCATGGATAAATTAGGACAGAAGGATAAGTAATAATTGCTTGATCAGGCTTTCTAGAACCGAAATTCTAATGTCTGACTCCAAAACTGATCCCAGATGTTTTAGCAATTGCATACTTATAGTTGGAAGTATGTGTGTGGACTTGAGCAATTCAGACCTGTTGTCCCCAATGAGTGCCATTATTTGGACTAGGAGCAGTTGTTAACTCAATCTCTTGATGAGCAGGATCCTCTGCTCTTCCCTGTTGCACCAAGATAAGAAGAAGAGTTATCTCGCACACATAA